GGCTTGCCTCCTGTCGCTCGGAGTGGAGCTCTCTTCGAGATAACTCCACCCCGAATGCACAGATCTTGACGCCCTATTATGAGAACGTTCTCTCGGCTCTCACCACTCTAAGTGGGCTTCTCTCCCGCACTGAGTGGTGCGATTTTGAATTTTCTTCCAAGAAATGTTATCGAACTCTCTTGAAGGAAAACTCCACATCTCCAATTCTTCATCGCTTTTGGACTCCCTTCCTTCCGATTGACTTTGGTCTTGACAAATTTTGGAATTTAGTGCGAGATGACTTTTCCAGTAAAGAAACTATAGATCACTGTTTTCTCAATTGCCCCCGTGTGAAATCTGTATGGACCCACTTTTCCCCTATTATCACCTCTAACCTTAGAACTAGCTTTCTCCCATCCTGTACCTATGTTTTCTTTTTACGTTGGATCCCCGCTAGTCCAAAACAGCATTGTATTGCCCGCTTTCTAATTAAGACAATTATGTACAGCATCTGGAAATTTCGAAATAAATCTACCTTCCACAATGGGAATGACCCCCCTGAGGGTATAATTCGCTATGCCCTCAGCGAGACCAAAAACAGAATTGCGTGTGACTACTTCTGACTCTCGTTATCTAACTTTAGAAACGCTTGGTAGTCTCCATCAATCTGTACAATTGATGGGGACTCCTATAGAATACTTTTGTAAATAGATTACCTTAAGCTTTAGTTAACATTTTATTAAATCAACTTGGAATCATTTACAACTTAGAATTAGCATCAAACAATCCTAGAGTTACATTAATATTAGTCTACGTTAGCCCTAGCCATACCAATATTATAGATTAAGCTTAGATAAATATTAGACCTAACTATTTTAGAATTATTTATAACCTTACATTAATATTAGTAATTTTTAATACTCGTATATATTTAAGAACTCTTGAACTTTGGAACTTTGGACTGTTTATTAATAATTAGTTGGGGCCAAGCCCACGTGCGTTAGCACTTTTATTTTGTAACTTAGGTGGTTTGTTATGAATAACCCTTTTCAAAACTTAAAATATCTTTATATATATATATATAAACGAATAAACAAGAGATAAAGTTCTTTCACTTATCCTTGGAGTGCTCGATGTAGAAATGCGCAGAGCAAAATACAAATGTGAAAGAAGGAAATTATTACTAGTTACTCGAGTTTCACGCTCTAGGTGATCATCAGACCGTTCTTGAATTTTAAACACTGATAACCGTTTACTTCTCGTAGGCAACTCTCAGTCTGATGATCGCCTCAAGCGTGAAACTCGAGTAACTAGTAATAATTTCCTTCTTTCACAATTGTGTATATATATATATATATAAAGAGAGAAATATATATATAATGAAAGAAAATCACATCTTCGATTGCCGTGTTGCCAGCATGGTTGTCGTGATAGTTAGTGCTCATTACACCTGAGCAGTAACAGGGGGACGTGGGTTCAAATCCCGCTCAGGTCAAATTTTCTTTTCAAACATTTATTCTATTTAAGTATGATTACTTGGGGTGTACAGGGTCAGGGTTTCCCTCGTATACAGAACTTATATATATATATATATATATATATATCGCCTGGCAGTTATAGTTGCCTGGCAGTTGCCTGACGGTTGCTTCGCAAGAGGCATGAAACTAAGAGTTGCAGTAAAAGTTCAAGTAGCCTAGATCTCGAAGTATAATTATCCACAGCTCTAGCCCTGCTATGGAGCACTTTTTAGTAGATGANGCACTCTGGCATGGCTTAGACGATACCACAAAGGTTGGATCGTTTGGGGTGACCATATTGGTTCTCCTCCATCCTAGCATTAGCACTGCACTGATGAGGCCCAGAAGGCCGAAACAGTACTGTCTGCAGTTAGATATAGCTCTTTGGCATACAAAGCTTTGCTTTCATGTCCAAATTGAGCACTCTAACTAGGATGAGTCATTGCTCTGCAATTGCGCATGCTCGCTAGTGTACTCTAGTTTGAGCACTCTGGCATGGCTTAGACGATACCACAAAGGTTGGATCGTTTGGGGTGACCATATTGGTTCTCCTCCATCCTAGCATTAGCACTGCACTGATGAGGCCCAGAAGGCCGAAACAGTACTGTCTGCAGTTAGATATAGCTCTTTGGCATACAAAGCTTTGCTTTCATGTCCAAATTGAGCACTCTAACTAGGATGAGTCATTGCTCTGCAATTGCGCATGCTCGCTAGTGTACTCTAGTTTGAGCACTCTGGCATGGCTTAGACGATACCACAAAGGTTGGATCGTTTGGGGTGACCATTTTGGTTCTCCTCCATCCTAGCATTAGCACTGCACTGATGATGCCCAGAAGGGCGAAACAGTACTGTCTGCAGTTAGATATAGCTCTATATATATATCGCCTGGCAGTTATAGTTGCCTGGCAGTTGCCTGACGGTTGCTTCGCAAGAGGCATGAAACTAAGAGTTGCAGTAAAAGTTCAAGTAGCCTAGATCTCGAAGTATAATTATCCACAGCTCTAGCCCTGCTATGGAGCACTTTTTAGTAGATGATCTCATTCCGCTATTTTGGTTATATATATATATATATATATAAACGTAAAAAACCTCATCCTTGAATCGGAGAGTGCTCTACAATCATGGAGCTTTGTAAACAATTATATCGGAAAATAAAAATTAAAACTTCGCACTAAAACTTCGTACTACAGATCTGTTTCGAAAGGGTTAAAAGTCCTCTCTCGTCAGGTGCATAAGATACTAGTTGACTAACGATCCTTTTTTTAAGTGGGTGGTTTGAGCATGCCTTATCAAATATTTAGCTGAGTGCCGGCACGCACTCGCCAGTTCGTTCCTTCTGTTTAGGGTGCCCGCCCCTGTTCTGCATATGATAAAGAATTTTTCAGCTATGCAAAGTTTATATCTTTTTGTAGTATTTGAGTGCGGCCTGGCGCGAGCTATTATTTTCCAGGTCACGGAAAACTCCGTTTCAGCATCCTTTAGGGACCAGATATATATACTCAACTCTGTTGCGTTCCTTTTGTTCTCATGTCTAAATGAAGCTGTATGATTTCTAAATCTTGTTTTAAATTGGTTCGCATTAAGGCCGACGTACGTTTGGGACTCCAAGGGACTTTTAACTGTGGCCTGGTAGACCAAATTTTGAATTAGGCAATTGCAACGTAGCGGGCAAGAGTGTTTGTCTCTACAATTGCATGAATTTTCTTGTGATTGAGAATTATTTGCGAGGGAGGACTTGTTGTGGGCGTCGATTTTTCTTTCTAAATTTGGAATTCATGAATAGCTTACTTTCAAAGTGTTCCTATTAAAACATTTTCTTAGCGGGTGCCCTCGGGAAAAGGATTATTTTACGATGCCTAAAAATTGTTTTCCCACGTTAGTAGCAACGTTCTTACTAAAAGGTGGGTTATACCAAGTTATGTTTCGGTGTCTTCTTCTCCCTTCTGTACTCCTCTGGTCTTTAGTTGTAGTTTCAAATTTTAATTGATTAATTTTAATTTTAATTTTAATAGGGCGGGCACCCTAAACAAAAGGAACGAACTGGCGAGTGCGTGCCGGCACTCAACTAAATACTTGATAAGGCATACTCAAACCACCTACTTAAAAAAGGATCGTTAGTCAACTAGTATCTTATGCACCTGATGAGAGAGGACTTTTAACACTTTCGAAACAGATCTGTAGTGCGAAGTTTTAGTGCGAGGTTTCAATTTTTATTTTCCTATGTAATTGTCTATATATATATATATACAATTGTTTAGGAAAATAAAAATTAAAACTTGGTGGTACAGATCTGTTTCGAAAGGATTAAAAGTCCTCTCTCGTCAGGTGGATAAGACACTAGTCGACTAACGATCCTTTTAAGTAGGTGGTCTGAGCAGCCTTATCAAATATTTAGTTGAGTTCGTCAGGTGGATAAGACAAAGATAAGTCAAACCACCTACTTAAAAGGATAGTTAGTCAACTAGTGTCTTATCCACCTGACGAGAGAGGACTTTTAAGCCTTTCGAAACAGATCTATAGTACCAAGTTTTAATTTTTATTTTCCTAAATAATTGTTTACAAAACTCCATATGATTGTAGAGCACTCTCCGATTCAAGGATAAGGTTTTTTACATTTATATATTCCTAAATAATTGTTTACAAAGCTCCATATGATTGTAGAGCACTCTCCGATTCAAGGATAAGGTTTTTTACATTTATATATATATAAAAGTCGAGGGGATTATTGGACAATATTCACCGAAACAGAGGCGAATAATTGTTTTAGAATAACTTCAGAGCTGAACAACAGAGAAAATTCTAAAATCATAACAGTTTAGTAACATTTATTAACATTTTATTTTTAAATTTTATATAAACCGCGTGGAGCGGTTTATAGAGCGTCATGTAAGGAACCGCTCGATCAATCAGATTGCTGGAAACTCTTTGCTCAGCTCTGAAATTATACATATATTAAAAAAATCCGAGTACAGGTACAATTTATTTGTAGTTTATTTGTAATTTAAACCGTTTTGCATATGCAACTGATACAAGCTGGTAATTTTTACAAGCGCAACCAATGTAAATAGTTTTTAGTTTGTAGTTTTTAGAGTCTAATGTTGGGAATCCATTGTTTGCGTACACCGTTTTATCTCGTCTTTATATATACAAAATATTGATATTTGTTGATTTTTGATCTTACGTTTGCGATGTTTCAGCCATTCGCTGTCCTACCCTAAACACTCCTGAGAATACAATACAAACAGGGTATGACTGTACTGGTCCAAGTGCCTTCTATGGTACCTCATGCTTTTTCTCTTGCAAATTGGGATACGAGGCTGTGGGAGGATCATGGCGTCGAACCTGTCTGGAGACTTCACAGTGGAGTGGGGCTCAACTTAGGTGTCAGGGTAACTAACAAGTGTTTCTCAATTTATAAAACTATTTACACCCGGACTGCTTTCGCTTCTTTGAACTAGCAGTTTTTCCCACACAGAGCTGCAAGGCTCTTATTCATTTGGTGTAGTAATATGAAAGGTTGTATATTTGTCGTCTTAATCTGTGCCATAAATGGAATTTTAATTTCTTCATTGTACCTACAAATACCTATGCATGGCCTAAGATGCACAGTCATGTTGAACCTATAACCATTTAGACAACTGTCGGTATGTTAAGATATAACAGAAATATATTAATCAGTGGTATAGAAATAATTAGTATGGTGTTACAGTCTTCATTATTTGTGAGGTACAGTCTTTTTGAGTCATCCTAAACTCTTTATCTTTTACCAAGAAAACGCCATGGCCCATAGCTTTTCGTTCCGTTCAATTACAGTTCTTACCTGTCCCCATTTTGCTATTACGTCAGAGGGACTGGATACCAGCCCGACACTCTGCACCAATGCAAGTGCTGCCATACTTTACCTTCAGGAGTGTCGTTTCACCTGTAAGCATGGATATCAACAGTATGGGCCTGGAATAAAAACTTGTGGTCAATTCAAGACCTGGTTTCCACAAGGAAATCCATCATGCAGAGGTTAGAATTTGCGCAAAATTTGTCATACTTGCTAAAGTTTATGAACATGAAGTCGGCCAGTTACATGCTTGTAGTGGGAGGACAGTATATAGAATTTAATCGCAGTTGTATATAACTAACTTTTGGACAGCATTATTGTAAAAGTTTTGAAATTGAAACTTGCGTTCTTCTAACGTTTACCTCGTTTTTATACTTTCTCTCAACCCAAAAATACAAATAAACAAGGTTACTTAACCCAGGGGGCTCTTGTTTTTCTTTTTGCGCACACCTTTTAGTATGACCCCTGGCAAGCAGAAATTTAAAGGCTAAGGCATTTTTTCCATTACTGTTAAAACCATGACAGGACGGAAAGTGCGTGTACTGTAAGTACCGTTGTCCCACACTGAGCCTTAGCAAAGTTTTCTAAGGCTTTGTATGGGACAACGGGAGGTACTTACAGTGCACGCGTTTTCCGTCTTTTCATGATTACCTGACCTACCGATTAGTTTCACTGAAAGTTATAATTTAATTCTTGCACAGATATCAGGGAACCAGAGTTTTTCAACTGTCCGTCAAATATTGAAAAATATGCTGATAGAGGTACTACGTCTACCCAAGTCACATGGTCTCCTCCAATAGCTACAGACAACTCAGGCTCTGTACCTAATATTAAACACTTTGGAAAGAAACCTGGAGAATCATTTTCCGCTGGGGAACACATAATCCGGTACTTGGCTTCTGACAAATCAGGAAACGTGGCTGAATGCAGGTTTAAGGTCTTTGTTTCAGGTATATAACATTAAAGAACTAACCTAAACATACTTTATGCATGTTAATGAGTAAAATCGTGTTCTCTATCGCCTGTTACAGTCTGTAATCGAGCCTAGTGGCCCATCCAGCCGGAGCTTTTGCCGGTTTCCGATTAGGGGTATTACTACTCCTCTTTGAGCTGGTGCTAGTCCACTGCAAGGTAACCTCCAAGGATTCAAGGAGTTGATCAGGCTTCCTTGACGGTTGGTTTGGCTGGTACCCATTCCTACACCTGGGTAGAGAGAGGAAATGGGAGAGTAAAGTATTTTTCCCAAGAACACAACACATTGACTTCGACCTCTCGACCAATACACTGACAATTAGGCCAGTGGGTGCTACACAGCACCCTTACTGTGAGGTGTAGGTCTAATTCCTTAATACAGATAGTGTGTGATATAATTTTGGACAAAACTATATGCTACATGTTATGCTATACCCTGACAGTTGGCCGGTGCCCCTAGTAAATGTGTCTTACCTCCATATGCAGACTTAGCATTTATGCTCTTTTATTTGTAAAATTATTTAAAGCAGCATGTAATATATACCTTTTTATTAAATTCCATTATAGTCATTCGCTGTGTGCCTAGATTATATGCCCCGACCGGAGGTACCTTACAGTGCAACAAAGACAATCAGTATGGATCTGAATGTACCTTCACGTGTCATGCTGGACGCACTTTGACAGGTTCTGCCCTCCGAGTTTGTCAGAAAGATTCAAAAACTTCTACAAGCTTTTGGACGGGAAGCAAGACAAGCTGTGAATGTACGTAAAATTAACATTTACGCTTATGAAAAGAATATGCAAAAGTTCGTATTTGTTAAAAAAAAAACATAAAAACTTTTATAGAATCTACTTACAACAGAGACGATCTATTCTGTCTCCGAAATAGAAAATAATAATTTTTCTGCATTATGCAAAGTGTAATACTTTAAATTTTACTTCAAAGTGTCCTAATTTCATAATAGAATGTCTATGGATACAGTGAAAAATATATTGATACGATAATAAGATCACAAACTGTGAATTTAATTTCTACTATCTCGAAGAATGTAGTAGTCATTTGTTTCCTGTACACCATTGCTGTCCTTCTTGTACTCCATTGAAAAAGGCTAAACTGATGATAAATCTAAAAATTGAAAATGAGACGACCGAATTATAAATCCAGGTCTCTAACTGCTCTCCCTAATTAAATTACTTCCTTGTTTTGATGGGTATAATTTCAATTCCTAAGATGGGGCATTGTATTATTGTTGCTCTTTGGTAAACTTGCTTTCAAGGTTAACGACTCGGGATTTTCAAGAGTTATCAACTCTGCTCCTATATAGAACTTAGGACTTTTTTTCCTTCACAGTTTAATACTATTGCTAAAATTTGCATCAGTCTTTCTCATATAAAATTTTGTGTTAGTGGTCCAGTGTCCACGTTTAGTCCCTCCACCACATAGTCTACTGTCTGGATGCGGAGCTGGCTCTCTCCATAATTTGTTCGGAGACAAATGTCTTTTCTATTGTGACGTTGGAAGCCAGATGATAAATGGATCAAGCGAGAGAACATGTCAAGCCAATGGCACCTGGTCTGGAGAGGCGCCATACTGTCAAGGTAAAGAACCACTGGAGGAGCTGTGATTTGGTATTTAGAACAAGTGTTTTTATAACCTGAGAAGATCCCCCTTCTCCTTTAAATTTATGAATTAATCATAAAAATTTGTAGCGGTGAAGAACCTCATCTCTAGCTCTCATTTTCAAGAGAACTGGATTTTGATTGAAATACGAACAAAATAGAAGCGACACTGAACAAAACCACCGATAGGTTTGAACCTAATCGGCATTACAATTATTGACACGTTAATCTTTACGACACCTTATTACTTCAACAGTATCCCTTTTGCCCTAGTTAAGTTAATCATTTCTCCTCCTCCCCTCGATAAAAACATGTTGTATCCTGATTCTATGAACTTTGAGCCAACATTGAATCGTATAGCTAACATTGAATGGGGAGGAGGATCTATTAATGATTTGGAGTGTGGAAGAAACAGGACTGTCATTCTTCGCATAAATAGATGTCTTTAAACATGTTTCAGCTAATTTTGACGCTGATTGTGGAGATATATACATCTGGAAAGTAAGATTTAGTACCAAATGAAACTCTAGCCATAACAAGACAACTGAATCTAACCAAACGAAAGCCTAAAAAGTGTAATCTTGTTCTTAAAGTGCTACTGAAACGTAATTTTCATATCGAGATTTTTGCAATATAATAGAGTTTGAACGTTATTTGCAAACGCTGTGTACTTTTTTTGGGCCAACGCATAGCGGAAAGTACATTTTTAACCATTCGAAGTTGACCGGCTGAGATCAAAACTGGCGGCCATCTTGGCGCGGCCAAAACAGCCCTGTGACGTCACTGGTTGAGTACTTCTGTGAAAGAAGGGTAAAAGCATGGAGTGTGGCTTGTATGTTGGGAGGCCGATAAAGAGGATTTCGGGCAAAATGCCATCCTCGTCTTATTAATCGGCGGCCACATCGGCATCTTGGCTATTTGCGGGAGGTTCGCCCGGATAGGGAGCAAAATTCCCGACTGATACCGAGAACGAATCTCTACCAGTCTATTTAGTTAATCGGAAACTGACGAGATCCACAAGATTAGGATCGAAACCGTGGTCTTGCTTGACCATCTAAAGAAAATGTCGAAACACATTATAACTGTAGATGGGCTACTAAACGCCCCGAGCCAAAGCAATGGCATTCAGAGAATGAAGGAAACATGGAAGCCTCATACGACACCGCCACTGAAGATGATCTACTCAGCAAGGCTGAGGATAACGAACAAATCCCGGTTCTGTCCTCGTGTACCGGTTCACAAGAGCCGATACAAAAGACCGAACAATACACATCAGCTAACCAATGACTCCTAAACAAAGAAAGAACAATACACAACAGCTAACCAATGACTCCTAAACAAAGAAAGAACAATACACAACAGCTAACCAGTGACTCCTAAACAAAGAAAGAACAATGGTAATTCCCTTGTGAACCGGTACACCAGGACAGAACCCAAATCCCTCTGTACCAAATGCCTCGCAGAACATGGCCAGAGTCCCTAAATATAGGGCGAGGGCCAAAATAAGAGCAGACGAGGATTTCAAAAATGAGATAAAGCAAATCCTTAACAACGCGGAGCAAGAAACAGTAAAGGCGATCATGTGCTTCTATGAAGGTGAAATCGGTCGTTTTAATACCGAAATAAAGAAAAGAAAACGAACCAAAACGGCTGGAACAGTGAACACTAAGAACTGTAGTACGATCGAATCAGCGCGCGTGACGCAAGCCGAAAGCAATCAAGACAACTTAACGATCGAGACAGTCAAAAAAATAGCTGTACATCTACAAAGGCGAACGATTCGAAAAAGGCGCAATCCCTGATGTGCGTACTCAGTGCCACACATAAAGCAAATTCTCATGAAAAACTGGCATTTAATAGAAACGCAACCACTACTGAGCGAACTATCCAAAAATCATACTCGTGAGGGCTAAACTTTGATGGGCTACTCTAAACACACGCTTGGGAGTCGTGTAGGCCTGTCAACCCCATTTTACACCACCATCTTCGTCTTCGCTACCGGAGACAACTTCGCTTCGTTCAGAAGAAGATTCACTTGACAAAACTTCAATATCTGCCATCTCCTTCGCCCACGAATACAAACAAACAATGAGTGAAAGAAAACCACGCTATCGGAGGAACACAACAAGTGACGTCATCAATCCATTTCGCTCGGTACCAGGGCCCGGACATGGTTTTGTGTAAAATTTTTGATTTGAACGGTTAAAAAAGATATCTTTCGCTTCTTTTTGGCCAAAGCAAATTATCTCATGATGATCAACATATTCAAAACTACAGGTTAGAGCAAATATTTCAGATACGAAAATTTCGTTTCAGTAGCACTTTAAGTGGAGAGGCCTACCAATTCCGTCGGGGACTTATCCCGAGATTCGTAGCTTGAAGCAAGAATGAGTCATTTCGCTCACCTGGACGGAAGCTTTTTCTGACAATTCGTACTTTTTTACTTTTTCATACTCTTGAGTGAAAATAGCCACTGCGAGAGTTAAAGTGTCTTGTCCAATAATCAAACAAATTGAACTCGACTACCGTGCAAAGCTGAAGCTCTCGATCCACAGACCGGCATGTTTTAGACCAATGTTCCTTCTCTACTATTCTACTGATAACTTAAATTTTGATTTAAAGACTTTAATGTCTGGCAAATTATTGTTGTAGTTGTTCAATGTAAACCCTTGCAAGCTCCGAAAGATGGTGACGTGAAACCAAGTTCCTGTAAAGCTTTTCCGCAATATGATACGTCATGTCATTTCACTTGCCAGAAAGGATACAGACTGAGTGGATGGCCGGTAGTGTCTTGCCTTAGAAAAGGAGAGTGGTCAAGGAACGCTACAACTCTTTGTAAAGGTTCCTTTTCATTTTTTCTTCTTTTTTCTCTCTAACTGCTAAATACGTAGTGAATTGTCAAACATCTTCTTGTTTATGCGCGCGAAGCACTTTCACTTGATAGTCTACATTCAGGCACACACATCATTCGCACGTCCGTTTCTTTAAAAAACAACAAAACCGAAGGAGATGGACGCATCTTAAATAGCAAAGAAAGGAAAATCTGATTTTGCGTTTGAACTAAGGGTTGTGGTGAGGTACAGGTATAGGTTTAAGGTGAGTTTAGTTCATAGGCCACACGACCTAAATTCTATCAGTGTTACCCTGTGTAAAAGGAAGGGTGACGAATTATAATCTCGATATTGGAATAGCCTGTTTCAACTGTAACATATTTTGTGTTACTCATATCCCAGATGTTGAAAGCCCTTCCTTTGGTTTGACATGCCCCAGAAATATCAGGAAGTACGCGGACTGGGCAAGAAATTATACCACCATTACCTGGCCTCCTGTTATTGCCAGTGACAACTCCGGTGAAGCACCAAATGTAATATCCGTCGGTGTGACGGGTATATATTACAGAGGGAAGCACCAGGTTTTTTACAACGCCACTGATCAAGCAGGAAATTACAAGATCTGCACATTTTTTATAACTGTCGAAGGTGAGTAAATAGAGAGAGTTATCTTAACCCCGAGGACGAGGGCAACGCAATTTCATCAAGGGATTTCTTAGTTTCTAATCATGTTAAACATTTTAACAAATTCATGAAGTTTAGACGTGTGAAGCTTAGAGATTTTAATCACTGTATCCGTTTCGCTATTTTTTCTCTGATTCATATCAAGGATTTTTCTAGAACGCAACCAAAGACGAACCTAAAATAAGGTATACATGACTAGGTTAAGGCAAAAAAATAGACTTCATATGTAATAACAGCTCACTTCGTATTTTGGGCGATGAAATCCCGATCCCCAGGTGACTTTTATAATTCGCCTCCACGAGAGGGGTGGAGGGAAGTGGGTTTTACTTTTCCGTCAATGAAGCGTTCCAAGCAGCAAGACGAAAACATGCATATATTAAAACATCATTTGGTACAGAAAAACTATCTCATATACAGTGTTTAAATACCAGAGGAGATAAATAAACGAATCTACATGGACAATGTACCTTTCATCAGTTTGCTACTTTACGTGTATTAATAACTTGACACTTTCCCTAGTTCTACGATGCCAAACTTTGCTTCCTCCATTAAACGGCTTTTTCATGGGAGACTGCGTCAGCACTTACGGATCCACATGCAGAATGAGCTGCAATGATGGCTATCAGTTACTTGGATCAGGGAATGTCACGTGCCTGAACAAACCTGGACACATCATTGGGTACTGGGACAAACCTTCTCCAATTTGTAGAGGTAAGTGTATGAAAAAAATAAACCGCCTCCCAGTTAGCACAATTGGTAGAGCGCCGGACTGTTGTGCGGGAAGTTGTGTCTTAAAATCCGGCCGTACCAACACTCATGGTCTTTAAATAACCGAAAAGAAAGTGCTGCCTTTGTAATGATAACTGCAAATGGTTAGACTTTCTAGTCTTCTCGAATAGGGACGATAAATGGAGGTCCCGTCTCGCAAGCCCTTGTATGTAAAAAAAAAGAAAAATTGTGGGACGTTAAAGAACCCACACACTTTTCGAAAAGAGTAGGGCACGTAGTGCACGGTGTTGTATTCTATCTTTGTGTAGTGTCTATCAAATTGATGGGGGTTACTGCGCCTTTGAATATTGTATAGAAAGGGCACAATATAAATAAGTAATTCATTCATTCAAAAAAATATACAAACGAATAATGCTAGTTGTTCTTTATTACTTTAAGCCCCTATCCCTTCCGAAATGCTTTTAATGCAAACGTTCTGACTTTTGAAACAATCGAGTTATCAAAGGCTCTCTTGGTCATTTGGCCATTCAAAACATGGGGACGGTATTTTTCTTTGCTTAACTTTCTTGACACAACCACCTAAGGTTTATTTACCCCTTTAAAAGCCATTGATGGTTTAAAGTAAAAAAAAAAATAACGGAACTATTTGTCAACTTTAAATGATTGGTTTGTCATTATTTTTTTAATGTTGTTGTTTTGGTTGTTAATGCTACTGTTCATTAGAATTTATGTCGACTTTCATCGTCAATTGAGGATAGCAAAGGTCCCACTAGTAAATGAGTCAACGCCATTACTTACTTCCTTTTGAAAAGGAAGATTTTCAGTACCTATAAAGTGCTTAACCGCAGGTTAACTGAATTCTTTTGTGACCTTTTTAGCGCGTTCGTGTTCCTCCCTAAGTACACCACAACATGGCTTTTTATATCCACACATGTGCACGTCATTTCCTGTCAGCGGAACCACGTGCTTTTTTGAGTGCAAGCATGGTTACCAAAGCAACGGAGGTGTCAATCAGATACGGTGTGGACTAGATGGGAGATGGAATGGGACTCGATCCTATCTCTTAAAATGTCTTGGTCAGTCAATCAAAAGTTAATTGTATGTTATTTCTGGGAGTTTCATACGGTCAGTCTCCATTTTTTAGTAAAGTATACTTGTACAACAGCCTCGTATCAGTTTTTTTAGATTAGAACTGTCCAAAAGTAGCGCTACGCCTGCATAGTTTAATCATTATTGTAGCCTAGAGGCTAGAGGAAGCGTGAGGTTTTCACATTTGCCCTTAAAAGTATAAACTTAAATCAGTTTTCATTTCAATGGTGATTCGTGCTTTCGTTTTGAAGCGTTACTGTAGCTTTGAAGGTTTCTGATGTATGGTGGCCATTTATTTTTGTACTGGTTGCTAGAGGAAGCAAGTCAAACTAAAAAACAAATACAGATTTTTTTAAATATTGATTAACATTTGAGAGTTTAACGAAATTTTAACTTACAATTCCTAGGCATTCCATACATCTTTTAGATCTTTTCGTGATCTCTGGCTGACCGTTATTTTGAATATTGGATTTTTCGCGACTTTAAATAAAAAGAGGGGTTGGTCCCCAGACTCCCTAGGACAACGCTCTGGCGCCAAAACTATAAAACAGCATCGCTATGGTTGGTGTGATTCTTAAGCTCAAGCTGTATTAGTGGATTTTCGTTTGTATCTAAACTCTTATCGGCATATTTGGGTAGTCACTTATATATTGCTATGTATCCACAGATGTTACTTCACCCATATTCCTCAGCTGTCCTTCAGACATCAGCGTGAGTCTAGGTGTTAACTCTACTGTAATGGTCAATTGGACCGAGCCGGTTGCATGGGACAACAGCAACTTGATGCCAAATGTTACAGTTAACCCACCAGGAATTCGCCCACCTCATAGATTTAATGAAACCACTTTCGTTGTCTACACTGCAGTGGATGGAAGTGGGAACAAGAAACAGTGCTCTTTTAAAGTCATAGTAGTAGGTAACTATTATACCGATAAAAAGAGGTGAAGAAGAGGCCATAAACAGTCGAGATATGTAAAATGATCAAGAGTTTGTAATTTATCAAAACTCGGTGGAAAGCATTTTTCCCGTTTTAAGTTTTTTTGCGGAAATGAATCAAAGAAAGCTATAGAGAACAACATCTCGCCGTTTTCTTTTGGAGTCTAATGTTATCGTAAAAAAAATAGAATAATTAAAAATTCTAAAAAAATCAGCGTCTGGAAGGTGAGTAAAAATAGCCGGTTATGCCATGACTCGTACAATGTTTCTTTAACATTTTTAATTGTTTTTGTGCTCAATATATCTCATTCAATGAATCATATTGATAATCTGGAATTGACCTGTATCTGTCTCTTCATGACAGATGAATTAAGTCCTGAAGTTGTTTACTGTCCTAAGGATCAAATTATTATCACCAAAGAGATTAAAGAGGTGGTGATATGGAACGAACCACAATTTAAAGACAATAGTAATCATCCGCCGACCATCAAATGCAACCACCAAAGTGGTACCGAGTTTTACTGGGGAACCTGGAATGTTAGCTGTACAGCCCGAGACAACAACCCGAATAACAAACCGGCACTCTGTCAGTTTAATATAACTGTAAAACGTAAGTAGCTAATGCATTCATCGACATTGTGACAAACCTTTCGTAAAGAAAGATTTTTATGATGAGTTGGCAATAGAACATGCCATTCCATAAGTTAACGAGCTCCAAATCTTAGGCGTTAGATTTCAAACTAAGTGTAAATTCACGAGCAACTTGTACAAAAAGCCAGTAAAAGTAAACAGATACTTGCTCGTGTAGTAGAAGTAGAAGTAGTATTGCTAGTAGCAGAGGAAGTCGCAGTAGTAGCGGTAGAAGCGGTTAAAACGTGCCTAATTCCATCTAATGAGGTCGCCTTCAACTACGTTGAAAAACTTCAGTTGCCATCTTGGTGATGATACTAAAAAGCATCGTTTTAAGATTTAACGAGTCAGACTGCTATTTGCTGTAAAATGAAATTTCAGATTGTACCTGAAGTCTTCTTGTTTTACTCAGCGCAAAGTTGTTCGGGTATGACACCACCCCAAAACGGAGCCAAGGGTTGTGACAAATGGATGTTCGGACGTATGTGTTCTCCTATGTGCAAAGACCGTTGGGACTTTCCCCAAAAGCCTCGGGCTAGTGTATGGGTTTGTGCGTACTCTTCAGGCATATGGTATCCCAGTGACCGCTGGCCGGATTGTTCAGGTTAGAAAATAAGATGAAAAGCGTCTAACTAATGTAAAAAAATGGGGGCTGTTATGTTAAAAATGGTATCGTTAGCCGCGAAAGCCTGCCGGCCGTGATTAGTTATCATGGTCTATTTCGTATTGGGGCTTCTCTTATCTCTTTTTAATATTTGACCTTTACAGAAATTTATCGAGCTGGTTCTGCTCGAATGGCGATGCATTTGCACTACTTCACTGGTGATTGTAATACGCCAGAAGCTAAAGCAGAAATCGCTCAGAACTTTATCCAGATCTTGAACACGTCTGCTTTCAAAGATATCTGCCAAAAACCACCATACAAAGATAAGTGCAAAACAGAAAACGTTGAAGTCACGTGTGCTGATGATGGATTTACCTTAAATAGAGGAAAACGAAACATATTCATGTATGCAGTTTTTGGAGCAGGTCTGGCTTTTTGACGACTATATATTTGATGATGGAATTGTTTTGATATTGCATACAGCTGATGGAAATCCCTGTTTGGAATAAATGTATTTGATAATTTTTTTATCAGTGTCTACGGTTACTGATCCTAAATGCAAACAGAAATATCATACCTTGTCCACTGTTTTAGTGTTTTTCCTCAATGGTGTACTTTTCAAGCCGCCTTTTTTCATTGGGACATAAGCCATGAAAGAAATACCTTTGTATCTTAGGAATTAAAAACTGGAAACTTCAGCGTCATTAAAAAGTACAGTAAACCTGTGTAGATGTTCCAGACCTTACTAGTCACAAGCATGTGATCATGTTCAAATAGCTTTGTAAGGGTTGCGAACTTTTTGTCTCTTTCTAAGTTTTTGTCATTCTTGCATTTGTTTTATGTTTACAGTGAACGGTGTTCATCACGAGAGACAGCGACGATTCGCTTCGCGCGTTTTAATTACTGCTGATATTGTGGGTATGTTTTAATTTATGTAATTAGAACTAGATAACTATGAGCTTCAAATTCCCTCACTTTCAAGACTCAGATAAATACGAATAAATATACATGTATTTCATTCGTTTATTTCAGTCATTTATTTAGTTATTCCATCTTTTTTCACCCTTAGGCTTCATAGGCACATTCCTATTAAAGCAGAGGTTTCAGTTTTGGAGACTCTGTTTGCAGCAGATTTTGGTTCTTATACAATTTTTTAATTTGTGTTATAAGAGAGGATATTGGCCTATTGGCTTCGTCGTGGAAATAATACGTTTTTGCCTCATTTTTGAGTGTTTGGGCGTTTGGGCGTCAAGTGTTTGTTATAAAACTCTATTTTGCTTTGTGTTAGTTTTTTTGTGTTTAGTGTGCATTTTTTGTTTTCATTTTTCAAATTTTAACCTACAGTAAGCCTTGATGGCATTCAAGCAAACAACACCAAAGAAGGCCAGATTATGGTGGGAGAGATAGGTATAGAAATCACCAAGAACATAAGCAGGCAGCTCAAAAGTGCAGTCAACAACGACAGCCTGGTTCTCAGAATCAATGGCACTGATATCAAACCTGATAAACAGTCGCTAAACATCTCAGAGCCCAAACGTGTTTGCAATAGAGGACAAGTGTATAAAGAAGGATACTGTTGTGAGTCATAACCATTCCTTTTCATAATCGTCACTGATGGGAAACGTCCATGACAGGACGGAAAATGCGTGCACTGTAAGTACCTCTCGTTGTCCCATAAGAAGCCTTAGAAAAACTTTTCTAAGGCTTAGTGTGGGACAACAGGAGGTACTTCAGTGCACGCATTTTCCGTCCTGTCATGAATACAGTAAAACATCTATTAAGAAACTATGGGCCAACTGCAAAAGCGTTTTTAACATCAGAAAGTATCGCAATACAAATTTGTGATATCTTTTATGCTTTCTTCTTCTAAACGTCTGTTTCCCTATTCGATACAATTTTCGTACATATTTTTGGCTTAAAGCTAACTAAATAACCTATGAATAGCTGCCCACAAATTATGGACAACTCTCCCCTGGAAGTGTTTGCGATAAACTAGGAAATCTTATCTGCTGGCCACTGACAACTGGTGATATCTGGCTCAGCTACCTCCAATAATTGCGGACTAATTTCGTACATTTTTCTTGAATAGTAAACTGTACATTTGGAACTTACTTGAATTACACGACTGAAACGTGCGAAGACTGTCCCATTGGAACATATCAAGACTACGAAGGACAAGAACGGTGTTTGGCATGTCCAGCGAAAACTTCAACAACAGAATCCAGAACAGGAAACCGTTCCAAATGCTTAGGTAGCTAATCATGCTTTAGTGACCCTTTCGACATAAACAAAAACACATACGCAAAAACAAAGCCAAGCACATAGAAAACAACAAATTGATTAATATGGCAGAAAACGTGGTTATGCATTATTTGAAGTGGGAAACCGGCGGAAGGCTTTAAGGTCCTACGAATGTTGTTTCACACGTTGTGTGGAACAGCCGGTAATCCAAACTACTTAAAATGTTTTTTTTTTCCCGTCCATTAATATCTAGGCTTTTTAGTATGTTGCTTCGATACATTCACTTTACCAACTAAAGTGAATATTTTCGATAATTTGATATTTTGAGTGTATATTTACAACCTACATTTTATCCTCTCTCTCAACCATCTCCTGCGAAAAATATTAAACCTTGGAATTTTGTTGAAGTTTGGGTTAGTTACCAGGGTCTGTTTGTTCATTTGTTTTAAGTTCAGTTGTTTTCAAGCCTTGTTGTTTTTTCTTTGGTTAAAAGCCCTGTGCAAAGCTGGTTCCTTCTCGCCAACCGGACTAGAGCCTTGTTTTGTATGTGACAAAGGGCTTTATCAGGAAATGGAGGGAGAGCGCCATTGCTTAAAATGCGGTGTCAACGAAACAACTCCTTCTGAAGGATCCAACAATTCTATGCAATGTGGAGGTATTTTAAAATTAATTCAATTTGTAAAGGAAAACCGCGTTTCGCTGAAACTGACGTACCATTTGAGTGCTGAAAAGAACCAAAAATACATTGAGAATATGCTTTCACAGCCTAAGTAATACATTAAACTATTTGACCAGGCATGAAGTACATGTACTATATCTGCGCAATAATGCAACCATCAAGTTCTTTTAGGGCTTGATATTTTACCATATAACTAAACGTATTGCCGAGGGACTGATGACTTACGACTGATGAAACGCTTTGCTAATCGATACGCTGACTGTCAAGCCAATGTTTAACTTGTACGAATTCTAATGGATCATTGGCCTGAAATGTTTTACTGATAAGATTTCCGCGAGAACAACAGAAGACGAAAGTCGACGGTCAATAATTTGGACCATTCGCCCTCAATCAGTCATACTATCCATCTTTCTGTCTGTCGGTCTGCATGTCAATTGGTCAGTAAGTCGATCAGTCAGTGGATCGGTCGGTCAGTCAGTCGGTCGGTCTGTTTGCTGGTCTGCCTGTCGGTTTGTCTGTCGGACTATCTGTCAGCCTGTCTATAGGTCTGTCTGTCCTTTGGTCTGTCTGTCTGTTGGTTAGACTGTCTGTTGGTCTGCTTGTCGGTCTTTCTTTCGGCCTATCTGTCAGTCTGTCTGTAAGTCTGTCTGTCTGTCTGTTTGTCTGTCTGTCTGTCCATTGGTCTGTCTGTCTGTTGGTTCTTTCTGTCTTGCAATCTGTCAGTCTGTCTGTCTTGCAATCTGTCAGTCTGTCTGTCTAGCAATCTGTCAGTCTGTCTGCTAATCTGTGTAGAATTTACATGCTTTCTGATAAGTGCGTGTGTCGTTTTATCATTTTAATTGCTTCCACAGTTCCGTGCTCTCCTGGGTCATTTTCTTCGACTGGATTAACCCCTTGCACTTCCTGCGACCGGCGTTCATTCCAACCACTGAGTGAGAGTCGCGCGTGTTTTTCATGCCCCGGGACGACTGTTACTAAAGATCCTGGCTCAAGAAGTTCCCAAGATTGTATAGGTTTGTTGAGTAAATTTCATCACTCAAAAAACACTGCCTCTATCCATTTGCCCAGGCAAATGGTGTTTGAACAATTGGAGCATTCGCGGTAACCGTTATATATAGTGAAGAGAGGTTTGAATTTTACAGCTCGCTCTGTACAAGTGCAACGAAACCTAGACATGTTCACTTAAAGAGGAAGTCTGATGTCATTGAATCATAGTAGATGTGTAGATGTGTTTTTAGTAGGACATTCCCTATTATAGGTTGTATGAACGATGGTTGTCGATAGTTATTTACTTCTACTGCTGAGTTGAACAAAATTATCATCACCTCTATTTTCGTTTTTGTACTCCATTATTCATTTGTTTGTTTGCTCTTTATTTTTTTCATTTTCTATGTATGTTTTAGAAATCAATGAGTGTGATTCTAGCCCATGTAAAAATAATTCCACATGTACAGACCTCATTGGAGACTTCCTGTGCTCTTGTCAACCGGGTTACACTGGAAAGGAATGTGACACCAACATTGATGAGTGCCAAGACCAGCCTTGTTTTAACAACGGCACGTGTCATGACTTCATAAACAACTACTCTTGCTCCTGCGCTCAAGGTTACCAAGGATTTAACTGCGACGGAGATATAGATGAGTGTATCTCATCACCGTGCCCCCTAAATGCCACATGTATAAATCTCCCAGGAAGTTACAAATGCGAGTGTGAGCCTGGTTACAAGGGTAGTCTTTGTGATGAGGATATTGACGAATGTCTGACATTTCCGTGTCAGAATGGAGCCACGTGTAAAGACAAAATAAACTATTACGAATGCCTCTGTGCTTTAGGTTTCCAAGGGAATGATTGCGAAGAAAATATCAACGACTGTATGAACATTTCTTGTCAAAACGGAGGCATATGTCGGGATGGAATCGATAGTTATCATTGTGTTTGTCCTGCAGGTTTCAATGGGACAGATTGTGAGTACAATATTGACGAATGTGTTGGTGCAGACTGCCAAAACAATGCAACATGTATCGATAAGGTTAATGGCTTCCTTTGTTTCTGTAAGAAAGGTTTCTCCGGTCAAAGTTGTGAGATTGACATCGATGAGTGTCTGTCCCACCCCTGTAAGAACCAGGCTACATGTTTGGACATGTTCAATGGATATCACTGTAAGTGTCCCGATGGTTTTGATGGCTTACACTGCGAGAACAATATTGATGATTGTGCCACAAATCCTTGCTCCAACAACGGATCTTGCACGGACGGCGCAAACAGTTTTTCGTGCGTTTGTCCGCCAGGTTTCTCAGGTAAATCTTGTAACGTAGACATCGACCTCTGTGCCTCGATGCCATGCCTCAACAACGGTTCATGTTTCGATAGTATTACTTCCTTCACCTGTGAATGTACTGATGGTTTCGATGGAGAGCAGTGTCAGACTAATGCGGACGATTGTGAAAAATCCACCTGCATGAATAATAGCACTTGCATCGACGGCATAGCTGAATTCAGATGTGCATGCGCTGAGGGGTTTGCCGGTGCCAACTGCGAAATAAACATTGATGAATGTGAGCAGAATCCGTGCTTGAACGATGGAATATGTACTGACATGACCGATGACTACAGATGCACTTGTGCAAGGGGATATACTGGAAAGAACTGCAGCGTCAGCATCGACGAATGTTCCGTTTCTCCTTGTTACAATAACGCTACTTGTGTAGACCGAGTGGACAATTACACGTGTGTCTGCTTAGAAGGATTTAGCGGACGGCAATGTGAATTTGACATTGATGATTGCCTCATAAATCCTTGTAGTAACCGTTCCACATGCAAAGATGGAATGAACAGCTACACTTGTCACTGTGAGCCTGGATTCACTGGCCTTACCTGTGATATTGAGATTGATGAATGTGCGTCTTTCCCTTGTTATTATGGCGGGACATGTTTTGATCGGGTAGGCTGTCTACAAGAGCTGTATATCCTCATTTATGAAATTAGTCCTCTTTCTATACCTCTTACTAACAGAGCTCGAGGTCCGTACTGTAAGTTACGGACCGATTTTTTTTCCGCTTGGATTTACGGCCCAAGTACGAAGCACCTGGATAAGTTTACGTAGTCTTAATTAAAACGTCTCGATAGGGAACTGTTAACAAATGTTTAGACGGGGGGTTCCGAAGTAAGTTGAAGTCAAATAAAATGATAAATTTCAAAAACTCAAGAGATACCAAAATTTGGTGTGCATTTCAGAACTAATATTTATCAAACGACTTCCTTTACAAACACTAGAGTATATTGTGTCGAGGTCTTAAAAGTGAAATATCTCAACAATCAATATAATACAAATGAATTGGCTCATTTCTTTTCATTTTTCCTCAGGCAAACGGTTTTACTTGTGTTTGTCCAGCTGGGTTTACAGGTGGTCAATGCGAAGTTAATATCAACGACTGTGCATCACATCCCTGTGTAAATAATGGTACCTGCTTAGATCTAGTAGCGAACTACTCTTGTTTGTGCCTAGATGGCTTTAGTGGCTCACATTGTGAGAAGCGCGTTGATTACTGCAGAGAATCTAATTGCACTGTAAATGGATATTGTGTCAACTCTCGCACAGAATATCACTGCAACTGTAGTGCTGGATACTATGGAAAATACTGCGAGTTTGAAACTGACGAGTGCCGGACGGAACCGTGCTTTAACAATGCAACGTGCCAGAATACCAAGAACAATTTCACTTGTTCCTGTTTAGATGGGTTCACAGGAAAGTACTGTGAGGTTGACTTCGATGACTGCATGGAGAACACTTGTCTAAACAATGCGACTTGCATTGACGAAATCTCTGGGTATTCCTGTGACTGCTCAGCTGGCTACAATGGGACCAACTGCCAAACCGAGATTAATGAATGCGAGTCGAATCCATGTTCTAACAATGGCACTTGCATCGATTTGACCCCTGGATACAACTGCACTTGTGCTGATAAGTTCTATGGAGAAAGCTGTGAAAATCTAATCGATGTCTGTCAGTCGGCCCCCTGTCAACACGGAGGGACATGCAATTCCGACAATTCTACAGGAAACTTCATTTGCTCTTGTTCAAGCGGTTTCACCGGAACTGCATGCGAAGTGGACATTGATGACTGTACCCCAGATCCTTGCACAGCAAACGCTTTTTGTATTGACCTGGTGAATAACTTTAGATGTGAATGTTCTCCCTCTTACGCAGGAGATCACTGTGAGATCCGTAAGGATTACAATTTTTTTCTATCATAGCATTGAATTAATATTTTGGCTAATGCACATACAAGATGACGATGACTTCCTGAGGGAAAAACGTAGAGATAATATAATGTCAAAAACAATCTTCCTTTTCTCGTACCCTGGACACTGAAAGGTGTCTTTTTGTCTAATAGGCTTTTTGGTTTAACATGGATAAAAAGCAAAAAGAAAAAGAAGACAACAACAAAAAAAAAACACCAACTGATTGTAATAAAACTAAAAGGATTGCTGTGAAAACATACCTCATGTTGTATTACCTTTTTTTTTAGTTCTTGGAAGCAACTTCGACCTCGTATTCAAACGACAGTCATCAAAGGACATGGTTTTCTTATCAGATGGCAAAAATATCCCAAGCATGATAGGCTTTACGATCGCCCAGTTTGTACGAGCAGACTCGAGGTACAAATCCGGGACATTGTTCAGCTATAGCGTTCCCGAGAATCCAGAAGACATAATAGTACTTTCCTTTGTAGAATCTCAAATCATTTTGGAAGTCAAGGACGAGAAAATAAGGGCTGATTTCAGATTAGCAGATGACAACTGGCATTTCGTTGGAGTTACATGGAATGCAAGTCTTGGAAGAGCGACTGTATATATCGATGGAATGGAAATTAAGAAAGCAAGCAAAGTTAAAACCGAGAACATTATCAGAGGAGGCGGATGGATTGTTCTCGGCCAGCGGCACCTTGCAGAAGAAAAGATTGCAGCTCTTTCTTCAGCATTTGTAGGAATACTACATCAAGTCAGCATTTGGAATGCTGCAGCGACACGTGACCACATGTGGAACGCCGCCCACAACTGCAGCTGGCCCATTGCAGGAAGCCTGAGGGCTTGGAAAAGTTTTCTCCCAGGCATCAAAGGACAAGTACAAAAGAGATTTATAACGCAGTGTAAAGGTATTTGGTATCTTCCAAATTCAGATGAGAAATAGAATTGTTTTTAACGTATTCAGATGGTATACATCCAACATAACTTGTCACTAGAGATAATGAATATCCAGTGCATTTAAGAAATGGCAGACGAAAATGCAACAATATACGAGACCAAATGAGAAATAGCTCAAATTGTGAATGGTAATATCTTGGGAGATAACTGCTTCACTATACTCGATATCTTGTGCCCCTCTCTCTCCCAGTTTTTCAGTGATATGCTTAGATAATTTAGCAGCTTTTTCACCTTACCAAATCCGCAGGGACGTTGCTGAGACGTGAAGGTTTGGGTGATCGAGGAATAAATCTGTTTCGCTCTATGTTTGATCTTGTGCTTTTAATCACGAGTTTAAGAATGCATGAAAATTTGATCACTTTAACATCAACTCTCTTCTTCTTTTGGGCTCTCACTAAATGATAATAATGTATTTTAATTTTGGTGAGCTCTTCTATTTGAAATGTATAAGGAGAGTTAATTGGTGTTGTGCTCCTTTGCCCATAGCCTTGGAAATGTGCACAACTAACTGTTCACACTTCCAACACTGCGAGTCTCGCGATGGATTTTACTACTGTAGCTGTCAGGCTGGATTTACCGGAGCTCACTGTAATATTAACATTAACGACTGCAGTCCAAAATCTTGTCTGAATGGAAAGTGTGTCGATGGAATAAACCGTTTTGAATGCGTCTGCAACAACGGCTATTATGGAATCAGTTGCGAAAAGAAGATCATAAGTGAAGAAGGTGAGACTTTGGGGATGGTATCTGCACTGAAATAGAGATAGGGAAGTCTAATAACTCGCCTGACTCCCAAATGCCACATGTAGTACAAAACAGGAACAGTGCTATTGTAAAACTTTCAAGTTGACACTTCCCTCCCTAGCTAGAACTTGGGTTTTTTCTTGGTGCATAGGGCCTGAGATGCTTGCAGCTTTAGTGAGCATTTGCATGGTGCTTTCTAGTTTCTGATCTTCCCTACTTTACAATGAGCAGATTTAAAAAGTCTTAGCACATGTATATGCACCAATAAGATAAAATAGTGTTCAATGGCAAAGAAAACTTTGTGGTTTTTTTCTTGGCAGACTGTCCAGATTTGAAACAGCCAACAAATGGTAAAAGCTCTTGTCGTAAGTTTTCTGGACAAAGGCTGTGCATCCTCTCGTGCAATGAAGGGTTCTCTTTCAGTAAGGGAACAATTACGCATTACACTTGCGGGCCTGAATCGGAGTGGAAGTGGAACGGCAGGAAGGAAGTACAAGTGCCAACGTGTTTACGTACGTAAAAACCCTCTCATTTTTTATTTTTCTTTGAAAAGATCTCCTTCGTATTCAACTGTAAGAAGCTCTGCTAAAATCATTTACATAAAATAAAACAGATTTATTTCCCAATTCTCCAACGGTATTGAAGGTCGTCCTTTGTATCAGCCATCAAAAAAAAAAGATCTGATTAAATCAGCTGGAAGTAACATGACCAAATATATCTCCCGGCTTAGCTTCACTGACTTATCTTGTGTATGTTTTGTTACAGGAAAAGCACCACCGAAAGAAATAGTGCACGAATACTTGTTACAATTTCCTCGAATGCAGTGTAGTAGCCAGAACCATAATGAACTGCGCACTGCGATCAAAAGTGAAATTAGGGATACACTTGTTACGGTGGCAGGATGCCAAACATGCCAATTGCAAAAGATCAAAGTTCCCGAATGTAACATATCAGCGAATAAAGCAAAGAGAGCAGCAGAACCTGTCATGGAAGTTATCGTCTCACTGAATATCTCTAAAGCGGCTAATACATATGAATATGAAGTGGAAGAAAGAAGTGAAGAGGTCTTATTCTTGATGAAGAGTGCAGTGGCCACAGGGCAGTTCGTGATCAACTTAAATGGAATAAACATGACTGCTGTTAGATCATCTTTTCAAGTTCTTCGTTCCATTGTTATTTGTAGGGCAGGTTTCCTCAAGAGTAGTGATGGGAAAGAATGTGGTAGGTGGTATTTATTTGGTATCACTAATTTTATTACTTATCGGCAGACACTTGCGATATACATTAATCAAATTTTTCTTAGTCTACCCGATAAAAGCCTGGCTGATTTATTGGGAAAAGAAGCATTTTCAAGAATAGCCCGTGTTTCAGTTGCTTCAGTCTCGTTTAAGGCAACGAAATTGTACCTTTTCAATTTTCTGTCCTCTTGGATTGGCATTCCGTCATGTTCATCGTCTGATTAACAGATCCATGCAACTTAATATATGTCAAATGGAAGCAAATAAAAAAAAATGGCGTACGGGTCACTTCATAGAGAGAGTTAGACTAATGTACGCACCGAATTTCGGATGAAGCCGACGGAAAACTGAACGTTTTTTTTCTTTTCTTAACGCCTGCTATCTGTTAAATATACATCCTGTACACCGAATGTTTGTCGATTTTCTAACATTGCTCAGACTAAGTTAAGACAACTACTCAAACGTTATTGTAGAGCTGATTTAGATGTTAAGTTATTCTTCAGTACGTTTAAACTCAGAAACATGTTCAGTGTGAAAGATTCAGTGCCACTAGGTCTACGTTCGCGTGTCGTTTATAAATAATCGTGTGCTGGCTATAATGTCAATTATATTGGTGAGACCACTCGCCACATTTGTACACGAGTTCGTGAGCACCTCTTGTCGGACAAAACTTCGCATATTTACAAGCACCTGCAATCATCAAGGGCCTGTCTTGACTCTTGTGATACTGAATGTTTCACGATCTTAGATTCTGTCGCTTCAAAATACCAAATTAAGATCAAAGAGGCATTGCATATTAAGTGGGAAAAACCTATTCTTAATCAGCAATTGAAGCATCTAAAATTATCTGTTCCCTTTTAATTACGTTGTTCATTGGTCTCTTATTTTATTATTATTATTCCTTTTTTTATCTAGTCAAGCGCGCGCTATTTAAATTTTTCGTGTATTTAATATTTAAATTGAAACGTAAGCCCTGATACGTAATTTGTAACTTACCTTAATATAAATTCAAATGTACAACCGTTAAAAGCTCATTTGCAACTGAAGATGACATGAGAATGTCGAAACATGTCTTGTAAATTTAAACTCAACGTTGTCGTTTCTTTTTTGAGAGTTTTTATCAGATGTGTAGAATTAACCTCTCAAATAAGGTCTTTTAATCACTTTTGAAATAACGAATATGAATAACTGTCCTCTACACATTTCCAACAGTGGCCTGTTTCGTGGGTACCTTCCACGATCAAGGCAGCTCTGGATGTAAACCCTGTGATAAAGGTACCTACCAGGATAAGGAAGGACAGTCTGTATGTAAAGCATGCGGAGAAGGAAAATCAACGTTGAATATTGGGGCTTCTTCCAGCAAGGATTGTTTTAGTGGTATGTCAAGAATAATAGAATATGTACAATCAACGATCATGGTGACTCACTAAAAGTAGTCTTTTCAACGTAACTTGCTCCTTGCCGGGTGAATAATGAAAGAAGCTGGCTGACATCCATTTGCGTTTCGCTGATGAGGGTACTCCAAATCCTGAATCAAAACCAAAACAACTGACTGACTGTACACAGAAAAGGTAGAGTTGTGGAATGTGTGAAATTTCATCTAGGGTTTTTATTTAAAAACAAAAGAAATCCTACTTGCAAACGCAATTTGTATCGAAGCTAGGATTTACATTGGAAAAATCTCTAGGTATCCTTTGTACAAATCGGTTTTTTATCAGTAGCAAAAACCCGACTTGAGTATGCATGAATTTTTACATTAACACCTGGGAAATCTGAGTTGAGGAAAGTTATCTAATTATTTGCAATGCGCCCCCGAGATTTTTCGCGGGGTTCCATGATGTTCAGAAACAGAGCTATCGCTTTTCCAAACATATCCAGATTTTGATAATCTTAAATTCTCAGAGCTAATAGCACTGTTAAAAGTGGTGGTGCATCTCTTAAAATAGAAAATTCTCGACAGCAGAATTTCCATGGAGAGTTCTTTTATGTGTAGAACATGAATCTAAAGCCGTCGTTATGTTATTGTTCTAATTCCAAAAAATCAGATGGAGAAAGTGTCAAAATCCATGTCATAGCATCAGTAATCGCTTGTGTAGCTGTTGGAATCATTCTTGGCGTCATCATTGCGTACAAAAGGTACGTTTCTCATCAGATTATGGGCGATATGGGGGGGGGGGGAATGGGAAGGGGTATGATCATTACTCAAGCATGGTCCTTGGAAAAGTACTTTGTGTTTAAACATCATTACCATTACTCTGGGAAGCGTTATGTTGATTTGTACCATTATTACTATTATTAATAATATTATCATTACTATTATGGTAAACTTTATTGCTAAAATAATTCAATGTATTTATCAACATCATTGCGGGCACAGCTTAGGCAATGTGGACTAAGTCGCGCTATAACAACCACACCTCCTCATTCCGACACGCAAAACACCGCAACTCCACCGAACTCAGCAAACACATCTGGACACTTAAAGACAAAAAAATCGATTATTCCATCACCTGACGCATCCTACTTTCCCACCTGCCCTACAACAGCTCAAGCAAACTATGCAACGTATGCCTTAAAGAGAAATTCCTGATCATCTGCCACCCAGACCTATCAACACTCAACAAGCGTAACGAACTCGTCTCTTCCTGCCGACACAGAAACAAATCCCTACTACGCAACAGTTGACTTGACACTTTTCACACTGCATAAACCATGTTAGTTAGCAATTAGTATAGTATATAAGCGATGGTATTGCATTATTCTGCCATTAAAATCCCCTGATGAGTGGGCAACCACGAAACAAGTCTGTAGGGATGTATATGTAGTTGTTTTTTTTTAATGTCTACCACGCATCCCACCCGCTCTACTATTTGTATCGAGCACTGTTTCACGGACACCAAGTTTAATCCCTCTATATATAGATACATACATACATACATACATACATATATACATATCTATCTAACTGCAGACAGTACTGTTTCGGCCTTCTGGGCCTCATCAGTGCAGTGCTAATGCTAGGATGGGGGAGAACCGAGACGGTCACCCCAAACGGGTGATATATATATATGTAGATACATATGTACATACATACATATATATCTGTATGCATGTACGTATGTACACGTTATAAGTTTATACAAATCTAAAATAAATAAAAGCAACAAAAAATATACTCTTGAATGAGATAAATGAACTAAAAATTCTCATAATTCACGTACTCAAGAGGCTGAATACATAGAACTGAAATATGTTCTTTCAACTATTATATCGCTGTATTAATGTACTTACCTAGTTACACGCACAATTTCAGAGTTCTGTGAAACAAGTCATTTCTGGAGCGTCCAATTGTTAGCAGTGCTACTTGTTACTCAAATAATATGTTTAGTTCTTTATCTAGGTCTTTATAGTATGCACCAAGGTAGTCAAATACTGTGGTGAATAGGGTCACTTTGTACAAGTTCTTTATCCCCATTATATTATGATGATGATGATGATGATGATGATTATTATTGTTATTATTATTATTATTATTATTATTATTATTATTATTATTATTATTATTATTGCTTTTACTGTAGTTTTTAATGATTCATTTGACTTTTAATGTTCTGGGCCCAGTTGTTCAAAGGCTGATTAGCTCTAACCCGGGGTTAAATTTTAATCCGGGTTTCTAAATTTCTCTGATCGAAAGCCATTTTGGGATAGTTTTCCTAGTTCTTTTTAGGACATTCAATCATCAAATTGTAGAAAAATGGAATTAAGCTGAATTTTCTTTCAGAGCTTTCAGATCTGAAATGAAATTTCACACTAACCCTGAGTTATCTTAACACAGCTTTGAACAACCCGGCCCTGTAGTTCTAATGTTCTATACATTATTCTTGCAGACTCTGTAAATCAAACGAAGCAATCGATAGTAGCACGAGCCCTGGGGATCTACCTTTACAGCAAAGGGAATCTGTTGTTGAAGCCGTGAATAATAGCGCAGAGAAGTATCAGCTATGCAACGAAGCACCAGATGAATTTCCCAACACGACCGCAGACCCAGATACAATTTATGCCATGGGTGACCAGCATGCATCCCTGTAGTTCAATTTGCACACTGTTCAGCTGTTAGTGGTACTACGAAATAACCAAATCTATTAAAAACTAGATTATTTTAGGCGAAATAAATTTTTCGGAGGTAGTGTACTTATATCCACAGCTGTACTTTAGGTAGAAAATACAAGTGCAAAATGGCTAATAGCATTAAGCAATTGCTATTCGTCATTTAAAAACCTCAATAAACACTAGAGGTGTTAGATTGTCTGATAAGCGCTTACACATGTCAATCAGAACCGCTATACTGTAGCCATATACAGAGCTTTTTATCTCAGATAGGTTGACTGAGTCACAAGATAAGAGCTCTGTATGGAAACGACAAACATATGTAGGTTAGGACTGCGTGAGGCCTAACTCATGCTTCTCACATTTTTCATGTAAGTCACGAAGACCTTTTGTAACCTCTAGATGCACCATAGAGAATGCTTTTGGAGGATTCGCCTCTCTCCTCTTTTTTCTTTTAATGCTACTTTTTTTAGCTCGTTGCACACTGTAGAGCAGAGTAAGAGCATTTGTCAACATGGCTTGCTGATGTAAACAGGAGCAGAGAACGGTAAAATAAAGGAAATCTCCGCTCGAATTTTGATTGATTGATTGATTTGTTAGTCTATTCGAGTCTTCGTTGTTTCGCTCTTTAGTGTAATCGTTCGTGTAGTCGTCTGTTCACTTGTTCCTGTGTTCGTGCGACTGTTCGCTTAGTCGCTTGTTCGTGCGATTGTTCGCTTATTCGTTTGTTCGTGCGATTGTTCGCTTGTTCGTTACATAAAGATACTTTATTTTTACTCGAATTTTGAGAGTAGCTCTGTTGAACTAACATCTTCGAGAAAGAAAAATACATAAGTCAGTCAAATTATAAATAGTACTACTACCAATACAATAATAGAAAAATTACTACTAAAAGTTCATTTTCCTAATTGCTATCTTAAAATCTTTAAATGATGTAATTGTTCTCATGCTGTCCAGGAGCGAATTCCAAGTTTTTGCTGCTTGATATCGGATGCACTCAAGACCATATTTTGTTATTTCTAGTATAGGTAGAGTCAGAATATTCTTTCCTCTCAATGAATAACAGGAATAACGAAGAACAAAAAGTTTTTTTAGATATCTATGTGGTGGGGTGGGTTGGGTAGGAGTCAGAGGGAATGTTTCATCACTGAGGAGTATTTGAATTACGCGGTAAATAAATGTCCACAGAACCGGAAGCTGTCTGAACCATAGCAATCTCGGATCTCGCTGTTCAATTTCGTGATTACGCGTAAGCTGAGGTTGGCTCTGCTAAGTGGATATATGCAAGAAATTGAACGACGGGTGCAAACAAAGGAGATGGAACATGGCGAGTTGTTTCGCAGCTAACAAACACCCCCGCTGCTTCTCAACGACCTCTCCACTGTTAATCTCCTCTGATTGGGAGCCTGAAGCATACCAGCATGGCGAAAAAAAAGGTTTCTGCAGGAACATAAGTGAATCTTAATGTATTTTGACACTCTCAGAGACTAGATGCGAAAAACAGGACATGAGGTCCGCTAGTACGGTAGTCTCTTTACCATGTCGCGGAGCGTCCCAAGGAGGAGAGTCACAGAATTGGGTGACTATTCAAATACCCTCGGAGAAAGAGACTAGTAAGTTCGATTTCCAAAAGACGGGCCTGTTTCCTAGGTAGTTTCTGGTAACCGGACCTGGGAGGCTTACAACGTTGTTCGGGCGGTGACTCACTCCCAGTGTCTCTCCTTCCTAGTCCTGAAGAATAGAACCTGAAACGCTGAACGTAATTTGCCGCAGGGTTGTCAGTAGAATTTAAAGTAGCTGTCTGATCTCAAGAAAGTAGCCGGTTAGTAAAGGGCTAGCACGTGTAGCGTGCGTTCTGGGGTGCGCAGCGCCCCTATCTAGGGCATGCCCCCCAGAAAATTTTTGAAATATACAGTTGCTAAGGTGTCCATTTCCTGGAATTTGAGCATGTTTTCAAGGGGAATTTTCAGATGTACATTAAGGTAAAATTCAGTGAAAAATCCACTTAAAAAGTTCCACTTGCTGTTCTTTGACAAATTTAGCTCAGTCTTATTTTACGTCACACTGCCTAGTCACGTTTTAAAAGTTGATTGCTTAT